GGGATCTCCTCCCAGACCTGGACTAAAGCATCCGCCAACTCCTGGACAGTCTGTGGTGCAACGTGGCGTTGGTGGATGGAGCGAGACATGATGTCCCAGATGTGCTCAATTGGATTCAGGTCTGGGGAACAGGCGGGCCAGTCCATAGCATCAATGCCTTCCTCTTGCAGGAACTGCTGACACACTCCAGCCACATGAGGTCTAGCATTGTCTTGCATTATGAGGAACCCAGGGCCAACCGCACCAGCATATGGTCTCACAAGGGGTCTGAGGATCTCATCTCGGTACCTAATGGCAGTCAGGCTACCTCTGGCGAGCACATGGAGGACTGTGCGGCCCCCCAAAGAAATGCCACCCCACACCATGACTGACCGACCGCCAAACCGGTCATGCTGGAGGATGTTGCAGGCAGCAGAACGTTCTCCACGGCGTCTCCAGACTGTCACGTCTGTCACATAAGCTCAGTGTGAACCTGCTTTCATCTGTGAAGAGCACAGGGCGTCAGTGGCGAATTTGCCAATCTTGGTGTTCTCTGGCAAATGCCAAACGTCCTGCACGGTGTTGGGCTGTAAGCACAACCCCCACCTGTGGACGTCGGACCCTCATACCACCCTCATGGAGTCTGTTTCTGACCGTTTGAGCAGACACATGCACATTTGTGGCCTGCTGGAGGTCATTTTGCAGGGCTCTGGTAGTACTCCTCCTGCTCCTCCTTGCACAAAGGCGGAGGTAGCGGTCCTGCTGCTGGGTTGTTGCCCTCCTACGGCCTCCTCCACGTCTCCTGATGTACTGGCCTGTCTCCTGGTAGCGCCTCCATGCTCTGGACACTACGCTGACAGACACAGCAAACCTTCTTTGTTCTCATTTGTCTTTTCACACCATGTCTGCACAGTCCCACTTAAATAATCACATATTATTTTATTCACAAACCATTATGGCACCTGTCCATCATATAGTCAGAGAGACCCTTTCTATTTTTTTTGTGTACAGTAAGGTCTGTGTTATGGTATATCATATTTTTATATATCATTATTAATAAATTGTACCTCTATAACTTTTACATGAAACATCTCAAAATATGTTGTTTTATGTACAAGCACAACACTAGTGAAAAGTGCTGAACAACGCCTAAATATGTTTGATAAGATACACTCTTAGAAAAAAGGTGCTATCTAGAACCAAAAAGGGTCCAACGGCTGTCCCCATAAGATAACCATTTCAAGGACCCCTTTTGGTTCCAGGTAGAACTCTTTTGGTTCCAGGTAGAACCCTTTTGGGTTCCATGTAGAACCCTTTCCTCAGACGGTTCTACATGAAACCCAAAAGAGTTCTACCTGGATCCAAAAAGGGATCTACCAGGAACCATAAAGGGTACTCCTACTGAATGGGAACAGCCACAGAACCTTTTTGGGACCCTTTTTTCTAAGAGTGCATGATAAAATAAGTATTGTTATTGTATTTATTGAAAGACATCACCTTACTGATCTTATCATGAAAACATTCCAACTTTCTCAATAACTATTATGAGAACTATTATGGAAACTGGGGGGGGGGGGGGGGGGGGGGACTTTTTGGCTCTGATGGAGACATGGATCACCCAAGAGAACGGTGGTCGCGGTGGTGGCACAGGGCTACTAATTTCTCCTAACTGGGGATTTTTACTTTTCTTCCTCTCTCACCTGTCCATCTCCTCATTTGAATTCCATGCTGTCCCTGTCACTCAAGCTTAACATTGTTGTCATCTATCGCCCACCAGGTGCCCTTGGAGAGTTCCTCAATAAGCTTGACACCTTGATAAGCTCATTTCCTGACGATAGCTCACCGATCTTTGTATTTGTCGACTTCAACCTTCAATCCTAGGAAACTCTTTTCCACCTTCTCCTCCCACCTTAATCCTCCATACCCTCCCCCTCCCTCCTCCCTCTCTTCAGACGACTTTGTCAATCAATTTGAAAAGAAGGTTGACGAGTCCACTGGTCCCACTCACACAGAACTACCCTACGCCTTGACCTCTTTCTCCCCTCTCTCTCCAGATTAAATCCTGTGACTAGTGAGGTCTGGCCGCCCGATAACCTGCCCACTCGACCCCATCCCATCCTCCCTTCTCCAGACCATCTCTAGATACCTTCTCCCATTCCTCACTTCCCTCATCAACTCATCCCTGACCACTGGCTGCGTCCCCTCTGACTTCAAAATGGCCCGAGTTGCTCCCCTCTTCAAGAAACCAACACCCGACTCATCTGACATAAAAAACTATAGCCCTGTATTCCTTTTTTATTTTATTTCCAAAACATGTGAGCGTGCTGTCTCTGATCAACTTTCTCGTTATCTCTCTCAGAACAATCTTCTTGACCCTAACCAGTCAGGCTTCAATACGAGTCACTCAACCGAGACTGCTCTTCTCTGTGTCACGGAGGCTCTCCACACTGCCAAAGCCGACTCTCTCTCCTCTGTTCTCATCCTCCTAGATCTATCAGCTGCCTTCAACACCGTGAACCATCAGATACTCCTCTCCACCCTCTCAGGGCTGGGAGTCTCAGGCTCTGCACACTCTTGGATTGCATCCTACCTGGCAACCCGCTACTACCAGGTGATGTGGAGAGGATCTGTGTCTGCACCACATACTCTCACTACTGGTGTCCCCCAGGGCTCAGTTCTAGGCCCTCTCCTCTTCTCTCTATACACCAAGTCACTTGGCTCCATCATATCCTCAAATGGTCTCTCCTATCATTGCTATGCGGATAACACTAAAATCCTTCCCACCTTTTGACACCCAGGTGGCGACACGCATCTCTGCGTGCCTGGCAGATATCTCAGCTTGGATGTCGGCCCATCCCCTCAAGCTCAACAAGACGGAGCTGCTCTTCCTCCCGGGGAAGGCCTGACTGCTCAAAGACCTCTCCATTACGTTTGACAACTCCACAGTGTCGCCCTACCAGAGTGCAAAGAACCTTGGCATGATCCTGTTCTCTGCAAACATCAAAGCAGTGACTCTACAACATCCGTAGAGTACGGCCCTACCTCACACAGGAAGCGGCGCAGGTCCTAATCCAGGCACTTGCCATCTCCTACGGGAGGGCAACTCCCGCTTAGCCCAGTCCAAGCTTTTCTCTGTCCTGGCACCCCAATGGTGGAACCAGCTTTCCTCTGAAGCTAGGACAGAGGAGTCCCTGCCCATCTGATCAAATAGAAGTTTCACAATGTTTAGGCTGTTACAAATGTACTGACATATGTGGATGCACGTATCATTCCGGGCAAAATTGAGAAAAACTACTTGGTTGTGCCTGTTGTTCACACGCGTATCTGCCCTCTCATTGGCTAGAATGGCCCCACCTGATGTCGCCTGCCTTCAATCATTGAGGAAATGTATTTCCATTGTTAGAGTGGGCAACCGGCTATCTTGTCAATATAATAGATCATCTTTAAAGAAAACACTGCTGGGCTACTGGATCCATAAGCTCAAAGGCCACCACCAATCCAAGTGTCAATGAGGACAGAGTTCGCCCCTTTCCTACACACTCAGGTCTGGTCTTTTTAGAATAGTCTTTATTTTTTTAAATCAACCATATTCTATTATCTCCAACATGAATTGGGATTATTTAAGAATAAATAACTAGTCTCCTTTTGAGGCACTATGTCTTGAATTATGAATAATGCTTGTGATGAAATGTACATTATATTGTCAGTCTGCAACAAGAGATGGGTTGTTTAATGAGAATGAAAAATGTACAACCATTTGCCTACTGTAAAATGGGCTGGGGGATTATACCTGTTCAAATGCTATTGAGCATGTCTGAACTTTATGATGACACCACTTACAGTAAGTCAGTGTACAGTAAAATGAAGTGAGATTGCCTATAACTGAACCGTTACCCTGAATAGAAGAGCCCACTGTGAGGAAACATCATACCTTACAGCTTGTACAATACACCAACGGCCACACCATTATTGTGGGAAGCAGCCCCTCTGTCTCAAGTACTGCTTACTTCTCACCAGTAGACTTGCATTTTCTCTCGGACTCAATGCCTATTTTTGTCATTTGGGGACCCCAGCCTCATCCTGGCAAAAGAGGACATAAAACTGTGCTGTGGTGTCTCCCTGCCAACACAGTGTATTACATAAGTCAAGTGAGTCAATCAACGAAAAAAACTAACAAACATGGTGCCACATTATTTGTTTCAGTGTTAATTTAATCATACAAATCTTTAATTTATACATACAGGAAAAATGCTTTAATTTTACATTATCTTCTAATAAATGTTCTATCATAAGACTATGCAAACTCTTCACTCATCCACTCACCATGCCACACTGCTTAAAAAAAATAGAAAATAAAAGAATGCTAATAATTCAACTCTCTCTCTCCCCATCGAACACACAAATGCAAAGCAGACAGCAAGGATTCTGATGATTAAAAAAGTGAGTAAAAAAAAAAAAAAAAAACTGTTTGGGAGGACTAACAGTATGACCTTGACAAATACAGAAATGTGAAAGGCTGGTGTCAAAACACCATGCCCACAAGAAAACATACTTTCCATCAGAATGAACCATAAAATACTATTGTACGGGCATCTAAAAAATCTTTAGTCGATGAATAACAATTGTCACTCATTTCTTTTCCCCCCCCTCAACCTGGTGGAACATTGGAAGCAGACAAATCACGATTGCTTGAAGGCGGCGACAGAAAGAGAGTTGAAAACGACAACATTCCAAAGGGCAAACAAATTGCGGAACACGATGTTAACTTCATTTGGTTGATATTTGTAAACAATGATTAACATAACTAAACCTCGTATACAGCACTCCACTTTATGCAGAGTACAATGGAATTTCAGGGTTGAAACTGTGTCCTTTTGAATGTATGTAGAACCAAAGTTGCTTAATTTGACAAATCAAAACGGGACTCAATGTTGTGTACAAGTTTGGAAGAAAACTATAAAACAAGGAGATAATATAAAAAAACACATGTATGCACGCATGACTGTAAGTCGCTTTGGATAAAAGCGTCTGCTAAATGGCATATTCATTAATTTAATTAATTAATTAATATGAACTCTATCTCCAGACACCATATCGAATCACTACTTGCAAACATCTGAAGTGGCATCATGCAAACTGCAGAAACAACTGCGGAAACAAACCCAGAATTTAGATAGCCCTCCCCATGATGGGGTAGAGCTAAGTCTATTTTTCTATGACGTTGTCCGTCGTGAAGTGTGAAGTGTCAGAGCCAATTTGGTTTGGTAGTTTCATTTATAGCACCATCTGCTGGCTCTAAAGAACAAGCAATTGCCACTGAATGATGCATCTCTGTGTTAGAACAGTACAGCAAAGCCTTATTTACGGCGCTACTCATTCACAGGCCTGTATCCTAAATTCTGAAACATCAGTGGAGGAATTGTTTTAGAATGAGTATTATATTTAGTTTAATCTATTTAGATGTGTACATAGGTCACCACAACTTCCTTACCGAAGTAGTATCCACCATTTCATGTTTAGTAAAATCCAAAAGGAAACCATACACATACATACGCACACACTGCAGTATACGCAGACATTGAATTTAAACCTACAATCGCTCAACAGGCAAAATAGTTTTAGATGGCTTTTTCCACTCACACGTTTCATTTGCTCAAGCTCACACACATCCATCCCTTTGCTCATCCAGCAGTCAGTCCACTGAGGTGAGTTGTCAGCTCAAAATAAGAAAGAAAACTAAAAAAAACTGTTGTGTAGTAGTATGATATATTTTTTTAGGATTTATAGCACTCTTTATGTAGCATTTACACATGCAGATCTCGGGAAGGTGCTGATGATGTTGGTAAGGGGCCATTCACTGGGATAGTAGCGTCCTTCTTCTCAATGCAGCTTGTGGATTGGGGCAAGGAAGAGGGTTGTCTGGAGTCTGTATCAAATATGTGTCCCTCCTCTCTCCAGTGCCCCTGCCTGCAGGTCAGCATCAACATACCCAGGTCTGTTCAGCAACACCTGGCCTGGATCTCCATCTTTCTAACTCTGGCCAAACGGATAGGGGCCATGAATACCCTGAGGAGAGAGACGGAACACAGTCAAAATGCATGGTATGAGTTCAGTGAGGTGAAATGCTAAGAACGTGATAGATAGAAATGTAATGAATGGCGCTTACACGATTCTCTATTCTAAGCGACAGGCAATCATATTTGTTCTACACAATGCATTTCTATCTGAACATTCTCTTACACTGGACGTGGAACTTTTTTCCGGCATGAGCATTGCGTGAGCCGCTCTATCCCATTGTTCTCAGGCGCGAGCTGCGTGTGGCAATCTTGAAATTAGAACCAGAGCGCAATTTTACGGTAAACAGCAACTTGCTGAGTCGACATGCTTACGCCCAGGTTTTCATTGAAATTAATAGGAGTTTCTCACGGTTTGCAAAAGTTACGCGTCCGGTGTCGCAGGCCAGTAAGGTTGCAGCAACATCCTAAACAGGGCAGGCCCCTACATACAGCACATCTGTATCCCTCAGAAAGATAAGCTCAGCAGTATGTAAGGAAGTACCGCAGTCCATTATTGAGTCAATAAAAGCTGTGAATGAGCAACAGAGGCATGTGTTTCTGAACAGTCAGGTGTACCCAGCCAGGAGTGGTTGTACATTTACAGGCTGGAATAAAAAATGCTAGCTATGACAGAAGTATAAGGTGATTTAGAGCAGGCACGGACACACACACATCCAAGCATCTCTGAGGGTATAGTGCACCAGTATATGGTGGCGAACCGACAAGGGTTATTATCATATATACAGGTAAATCCATAAAAACAATAAAATAGCTTGTATCATTAAGGGCAATAAACTAGGCAAAAGCAGGTGGTGTACAGCTGCTGTAATGGTGGATGTTGTTGCTCAGTGAGGATATTGTAACCACCAACTGACATATAGGGCCGGTTTCCCAGACACAGATTAGGACTACAAGGAGAATCTCCATTGAGAATGCTTTTTAGTCCAGGACTAGGCTTAAAAAAGGTCCAATGTATCCGTTTTTATCTCAATATCAAATCATTTCTGGGTAACAATTAAGTACTAGGGATTAATATCTTCCCAAAATTCTACCACATTTCAATACCAGGAATAATTCATATTTATCCCGAGAGTCCCGCTAAATACTGAAAAAAATTGGAAGTGCCCATTTAAAACCAAGATATGGTCACTATGCCAGGGTTATCCCAAAATATATCAAGATTTCACAGAAAGTGAAACTGACATTTAGTAATGATAGAGTAACTTTGATCGCCAGTGACATTGCTGTGAATTGCGAAACAGGCTGTTCATAAATTCAGAGCGTTAGCATGTTCCTCAATTAATTCAGGCCTAGAACGCACAGAGCACACCCCAAGTTAGCTATAGCGTTGTCGAATCATATAAACTTTGTAATGGCAGTCAAACAAAAGTAAAATTACCAAAGTTGCTAAACTTGCTAGATAACCTCCAACGAATGACAGAATCTCTCGTATTTGGCAACATCTAGATTATTATTATACAGATAGCAGATCAGCTCATGAATAACAGGGAGTAAATTGTTTAAATATCAAGGTATCTTAACGGGGACCAACTCTGCTTTAAAAAAAACACATCCTCTACCTAACCTCTCATATGGGCAGCAATACGAGACAGCGCAGAGAAGCAGGGGAAATGTTATAGCGGTATTTTGACATGCATAGGCGAGACGTGCTTTGAAAATGCAACCTATAGATTACAGAATAAAGTTAGGAATTTTCATGCGAGACAGGAGTCAGGATTTTAGGTTTCAGTGGGATTGGGACAATAGGAAAATCGCCTAGGCTCTATCTAAAGCTACTATGTGAGTCAATAGATAAATATACACTGGATTTAGGCTACATTATTGCACACTAAATGTTTCTGATCAGTGATAGATGAGCAAACGAATAAATGAGCTAGCACTTCCACTTGTCCAGCCAGAGATCAATTAACCAAATAAATAGAGATTCAGTGAAACAAAATCACATCGATTGATTTTCAGACAAGTCACAGGCTTTTGGTCGGGAGTAGGACAATCTACTAGACGAGTGAAGAGCAAGCAGACTTGTATAACATGCTAGCAAAATGTTCTGATCAGCTAATATATGAGCAAGCTACATTTTTACATTTTAGTCATTTAGCAGACGCTCTTATCCAGAGCGACTTACAGTTAGTGAGTGCATACATTTTCATACTGGCCCCCCGTGGGAAACGAACCCACAACCCTGGCGTTGCAAACGCCATGCTCTACCAACTGACCTACAGGGGACTAGAATAAAAGATGATCATTAGCACTCACCTCAACTTAGCTAACATTTCACCAGCCTAATTGTTACCAAATATCCAAACAGAGATTCAGTGAAAACAAAAAATCGGACACTGATCGATTTATGTAGACAAGTCCCCCACGCTTGTCTCAAAGCAGCATGATGGCGCTGTCCCATTCAAAATGGTGCTGAAATTACAATCTAGGTGCCCACACACACAACGATTGCTTTAAATTAGTATAATGGTTGGATACAACTTCGGGAGTTTCAGTATGAGCAACAATTTGATACATGCCTTCAATTGCATTAGCCTACTATATTCCAATATGTTCATCATTCAGTTGATCATAACTAAGGTGAGTTTTCCTCTCTCTGTTCGTCACGTCTGCCCTGCTAGAGCTGTGCTGGTCAACTGTAAGTGCTGTTATTGTGAAGTGGAAATGTCTAGGAGTAACAACAGCCGCGAAGTGGTAGGCCACACAAGCTCACAGAGCTCTGTCCTCAGTTGCCACACTCACTACCGAGTTCCAAACTGCCTCTGGAAGCAACGTCAGCACAATAACTGTTCATCAGGAGCTTCATGAAATGGGTTTCCATGGCCGAGCAGCCGCACACAAGCCTAAGATCACCATACGCAATGGCAAGCGTCGGCTGGAGTGGTGTAAAGCTTGCCCCCATTGGACTGGAGTAGTGGAAACGCGTTCTCTAGAGTGAGGAATCACGCTACACCATCTGGCAGTCTGACGGACGAATCTGAGTTTGGCAGATGCCAGGAGAACGCTACCTGCCCGAATGCATAGTGCATACTGTGTTTTTTATGGTTTGAGCTAGGTCCCTTAGTTCCAGTGAAGGGAAATCTTAACGCTACAGCATACAATGACATTCTAGACGATTCTTTGCTTCCAACTTTGTGGAAACAGTTTGGGGAAGGCCCTTTCCTGTTTTAGCATGACAATGCCCCCATGCACAAAGTGAGGTCCATACAGAAATGGTTTGTGGAGATCGGTGTGGAAGAACTTGACTGGCCTGCACAGAGCCTTTCCCTCAACCCCATCGAACACCTTTGGGACGAATTGGAACGCCGACTGCGAGCCAGGCCTAATCACCCAACATCAGTGCCCGACCTCACTAATGCTCATGGCTGAATGGAAGTCCCCGCAGCAATATTCCAACATCTAGTGGAAATCCTTCCCAGAAGAGTGGAGGTTGTTATAGCAGCAAAGGGGGAACCAACTCCATATTAATACACATGATTTTGGAATGAGATGTTCGCCGAGCAGGTGTCCACATACTTTTGGTAATGTAGTGTACCTTACCGTGATTGTTGCACTTACCACAAATGCCTTGTTTGCTAAGTTAGCCGTATTGTACATTCCTCTTCGTTACTCTTTATGTATGTATCTACATTTTTGCTCCAAGACGCCGGCAATGTAAAAAAACAAAAAATTGATTGTGCTGATTTATTCGTGCACTGAACCATGTCGCGCACTGTAGTTTCAAAGCTCTGTGGATAGTGCTAAAAAAATGATATCTGAATTCCGACATCTTTATGCACCTTCGCCATTAAAATTGTCAAAAAGAAACAAAAATAGCTTCTTAGCAAAGCAAAAATGTTGCTAGGACGGTCTGAGTGGGGGGGGGGGGGGGGGGGGTTGGACTGAAAATGAGTTGCGCTCTAGCCAACAGCTGGCAGATACAGTGCTGGTATAGACTACATAATGAGATTATTATGGACAAAAGAGTGAAATTATTTTTATTTGTCAAATGGCAGCCAAGCATCGATCATCATGTCACCAGATTAAGACCCTCGATAATTATTGGAAAGGAGCATCAAGCTCATCACCGTGCACTTTCACCACCCTGTGAAGTTCATCATAATTTATTTCATCTGTAGCCTAATAACCTAACGTAGCAGGCGTAGGAAGCTGAAGTTATGTTGAATACTGTATCCCTGAAAACCAGAAACATCCACTTTCTGCCAACGCCACTAAGGGTGGTAGCCTAATAAACGGTATGCTTTCCCGAGTCGTTGGTCAAAGTTTACTTCGATATGATGGTTATCATATAAATATTTGCATTTCCACTGCAATTTCGCGCATAATTAATTTTACCAACACAAAAACCCACCTTGTCTAGCGTATTTTGTTTTGTCGACATTTGGAAAGTTTACCAACTAATTTTGCTTCCTCCATCAGGCCTGTCGTGACATCTTTTATCCGACATGTACTTTACTCGCATAAAAAGTTTTTACACACATCCAAACATGGCACTGAAGAAATAAAAAAATCACCTCAAGAAATATAGTAACAACCACTCACTTCTCCCACAAGAGGCCCAATGTTTAAGCAGAAAACAGTGAGGAGTGGACGTCACCTTGTTTCGAGGCAAGCCAACCTTGGTTCATCAATTCATACATACCTGACTGTAAGTCACTACTGATAGATTGTTTTGGAGCCCATTCGATGCTCTATTTACAGCATTGTGAGACAGTCCGTTTTGATCTTGCTGGATGGCGTCCTGCATGCCCTCCCAGGCTCCTCCAGGGTCTTTGAAGTTGTTGTGGTCTCCGGCGTTGTGTTTGCTCTTCTGTGGCGAGGCAAAGGGGTTGAAGTCTCCCTCCACATTGCGGTGCGGCTGGGTGTTGAACTCTGTCTCGAAGGAGGACAGCTGCTGTGTCACGCCCAAAAGGCCCCCCACCTCTACGCTGAGGATCACCCAGATCACGTCTGTGTGGACAGAGAGAGTGACACACACCAGGCATTATGGGTGACGTGTTCTGTCCAGGAGACAGAGTGCTGGGAGTTAAATACCCCACAGATATGCCTACATCTGCACGACATTTTGGTAAAGTTGACCAATTTCAAGACATTGATTGACGACGTAATATCTTGAAAAAGGACTTCACAGTAAAAAGTTAGCACACAAACGTATAAAATGTTTTTAAAAAAAAATATATATATATATATATTTAAAAAATAACCGTGTCTGGATACTTTCTGGAATTAATTACACCCTTATAGAAAACAATGGTCCACAAAACAGTGTATCTGCGCCATTTGGGACATACCTCCGTAAAACAGTCCTGTGGCTGTGCACATCCTCCATTGACCCTGGTACATGCCGGGTGCCAGGGGGCTGTGCATCTGCACACTGACGTCTGAGATCTCCTGGGGGTCTAGACAGCGCACCATCACCATGTTGACGTGGCCAAACTGGTCCCCTCCAATGTACTTCAGACATACCCCGGGTGGCCAGGACTCTGCACCTGTGAAACACACAGACATTTGATACACACTTTTCAGACACAATGCTCCCTTGCCAACCATGCAGTTACTCATACCTTACCTCCACCACACACACGTTTACAGGCCAGTGGTTTCCGGGTCTTACATTGCAGTGAAGGTTTTTCTTCTTTTGTGACTGAATCATATGTATGGTGATATAATCTGGATGAATAAAAGGTAACCCCCACCTGTGTTCTGTATCCTCCAGGTCTTTGTAAACGGTGTGTCGGGGGGAACAGACTCTCCCTCACCAATTGTCACATCCTCCAAAAAGGACATGAATGGTGTGTTGATGCTGGGACTCTCAACGTCATAATATGCACCGATGGCTGCCTGTAGATTCCTATTTTAATTGAAAAAGACATTGAGAAGAGCGGGTGAGTCAATGCCCTGTTTAATTACCAAGTATTCAACCTGATCCAGTTCCTGAAACTACTTCACAACAACCATTTAAAAAAAAATTTAAAATAAGTCTATCTTGCTGATAATGATTTTCCTTGGCAAAAATATGAGTCAAGGTCATTTATCAGGGTTGTTTTATTTTGTTCAGTGATTAAGTCGTGATCACTAGCATACCTTAGCTCACTACCAATCAAATTACATCATCATATCACAAACACTTGCTAGCTAGGTGTTCTAAAATTTACTCCTGGAGCCCCTTGGTGCGAGCTTGCACATTATTGTCTAGCTAGACCACAAAAAAATACAAGTTAAATGGGTTTCCATCGCATTTTCAACTCTACTGATGGTTTTCAAAACAAAGACAAAACACGTTTTATAGAGAGTGTGCCCACTACGGTATTGGCACGTGCGCTCTAGCCTACTGTATCAGCTCGCTGTTAGCTAGAGGGCACGTATAGCCTGCATGATGAAATTATTATGGACTAAAGAGCGAGATTATTTTTATTTGTCAAACGGCAGCTAAGCAATGATGATCATGTCACCACAATAAGACCCTCGATATTTGTTGGAAAGGTGCATCAAGCTCATCAATTGCACTTTCACCACCCTGTGAATGCACCAATTTGTAAGTCGCTCTGGATAAGAGCGTCTGCTAAATGAAGTAAATGTAATGTAAATGTCACGTTCATCATCATTTATTCAATCTGTAGCCTAATAAACTGCATGCTCTCCTGACAAGTCGTAGTGGTAGGACCACACAACATGTCATCGCATGACACCAAGTTTACTTTCATATGATGGTTACTATATCAATATTTGCACATAAAAGCGTTTCCACTGACATTTCTCGCATAATTAATTTTAACAACACAAAAAGATTCCACCTTGTCTAGCATATTTTGTTTTGTCGACATTTGGAAAGTTCATCAACAAATGTGCTGTTTCCATCAAACATGTCATGACATTTTTATCTGACATGTATTTTACTGGAATAAAAAGGTTGGATGACTTTACTCGCATAAAAACTGACTGGAAGTGTGGTTATTGAGGGGATTCGATTAATCTGGTCCGGTGAAAATGTGCACCTGCTGAAAGTTGATTGCTTTAGTTTTGGAACCGGGCAGCCTCCCGGGCGTGAGCCAGGTGCCCCAGTTCAAATGCAGCGTTCAAATCAACTGGGAACTGGTAAATCCCCAACTTCCTACAGTGTGTTCAAGACAACTGGGTATTGGGGAAAAAAAGGAGCGACTGTGGAAAATAGTTTGAACAGTCAACCAACTCAGAATTCCAAGTCGGAACCTCTGGCATATTTCTAGAGCTCCAACTTTAAGATCACTGACCCCATGATTTGACATTGCTATTTTTCCAAGTTCCAGAGGTGCTTTCAAGACAACTGGGAACTCTGAAAAATACGTGGTCTAGTCATGAAATCAGTGCTCTTCAGGTCAGAAAGTCGGAGCTCTAGAATGAGGCCCGAGTTCCTGAGTTGGAATTCCGAGTTGGATGACAGTTCAAATCGATTTTTCAAAATCGGAGGTCGTTTTTTTCCGAGTTCCCAGTTGTTTTGAACACGGCATAATGGGTAGGATTCTGTGTTTACACATGCAAGAGTGATTGCTTTTGATAATAACGCTTTATGTGCCTTCCCAATGAAAACAAGTTTGAAAATTCTAACATATTTAATGGAAAATAGATGTTGTATGTTTCTGGACGATGCACCATGCTACCTTGTTGACAACATAACCGAGCTGAGCAGATTACTGTTTGATTTGAGAAAGGCGCTCATCCCTCACCGCTTTCGCCCGTTCACGTCACGGTCCATAGACAGGTGCCCCGCAGCATAATCGAATCCGCCCAATGTATCTGGCGTTACCTACAGATTTACATAGCTAACGTTAGCCTAACTATTGCCGCGTTCACGTACTAATCGAAACTAGGAAACTCGGAAATGTCTGACTTGTTAACTGGTTGCAGTTATACATGTGCCGCGTTCAACGAATCCACAAATCGGAAATTTCCGAGTTTCCTAGTTCCGACTAGCACATGAACGCGGCATAAATCCTAGCAATGACGTAGCCAATTGCAATGTATCGACACAAGTAGATATAGCTATAACTACATGAACGAGATAGAGACATACAACCACACTAAATTATAACTAGCTCGCTTCTTTGCCACTAGTCAAAATGTAGCTAGCTACTAGCCAAGTTAGGCCCCACATCCACGAACTCACCAGTTGGTCATGTCAAGGAAGAAGGCGCATCCTGCCGGGTTGAGTTGGAACCCCAGCAGTCTTTGGAACTCTGAGATGAGGACATCCTTGTCAGTGGTGCCCATGCAGTTGAATTTCTGCATGAGCTCCGGGTCCAGGTCCATGTCCATGCCCTCCATTGGCAGGTCTACCGTGGCAGCGACGGCGGGTTCTCTCCTAATTTAATCCGAGGCCTTGTCCAGTCATAACAACCAGTCCAACAACAATAAACTTAATATGCATGGCGAGGGGCAACGTTTGACGTCGGTGCAATCGAACGTCACCTTGCGTCACGGTGTGTGGACCAAGGTATGGACACAGAGTTTCTAAACCCAGAGACGCAACCTCGCAAGACTTTCGGGAACGCTTGAGAAGCAGACTAAGTAGACCAGGCCGGGGTTTGGGGTTGGAGAAGTCAATAGAAAGAAGTGAAAAAGTATTCCTTAGTTGTTAATTTTCTCGAAATCTAAAGGCACAAGGTAGATTCGAGTCAATGTTTTAAGTAGTTGAACATGTTATTACACAAACCTCGTCAAAAACCACTATATCGAAGAAGTGCCTTTGAGTTGACGGTATGCACATGCGCAGTTCGGCGCGAGAAAACCGTTAGACCGATGACGTTTCCTGCGCATGCGCTTAGCTAGCCAACGTCGTCATGACATCGCCTTCAAGTGTGATCGGGGATTTCTATTGGGGAAGCAGTTTTAGCACAGATAGAACAATGCGACAGATATTTCACCGGATGTATAAAATGTGAAGCTTCCGCTTGGCGTTTTCACTCACTAACAAATATGGTAGTGAGAGGAAGCCAAGTGGCCGGCAGTGGGAGAAGATGGGAGATGGATTTTGGCCGACTTTCTGCAAATTTTCTCATCCATGAAACATTTGATCTCAATACAGTTTTCTGTTCCCAAACTAGAATTTGTTATGGACTATGTTTTGTAGACGTTAACCTTTGCCAAAGTTGTAAAAAATCGCGTTGTTTAGAAGGAGTGCAAAGGCGAATTGAGTTATTGCACATGCGCACTTCAGAGTAGGCGTGCCCTAACATGCTAGAACGGTCTAATAGGATCTCGCTAGCTCGTGTTTGGCTCTGCCCACCTCCTTGCTTGTTCTGCCCACTATGACTAATTTGTTCCCATTAGAAACGACAGGCTGTGGTCTCTTGGTTTAGTTATAAACATCTTTGGTTTTAGCCTTTCTTCATACTCTTCTGTCAAATCAAATCAAGCTTTATTTATACAGCATATTTCAGACATGGAATGCAACACAATGTGCTTCACAGGAAAAAACAAATACAAATAATGAAAATAAAAAAACAAATATTTACTACACAACAAACATAAGAGGATAAAAAACAAAAGAATAACAATAGAAACTGAACGGCAAAAAAGCCCCCTAAGGAAAAGCAAAGTTAAAAAGGTGATTTTTAAGATCTCTTTTAAAAATGTCCACAGTTTCGGCCCCCCTTAGGTTCTCTGGCAGGCAGAGCATGTGAGCGGAGTAGAGTGGTTGGAAATCCCTCTCATCGCTCATGGAGCGGTGCACACTGCTCCATGTCCTTCCATGCAAAAAACTGCTCTGTGCTCACAGGAAAAAAAACTCCTGCTCCAAATTCGCTCCATTCATTAAAATCACAATGTAACCAACACCCATCTATTTTTGTGATTACCTGGACTTACCAATTGGTTTTTAAGTATTGAAACCAATCCATATGGATTTGAATGAAAGGTATTTGAATAAACATGAAAAGGTGAATGTAAGAAGCGAACATCATTTCAAATAGGCTACATGTTATATTAAACAGCATATAAACACTCTAAATAGGCCATGAGCCAGACAGGGAGCCTAAGAAGGAACTAAAATGATTTATTTAGGCTATATTATTTCAATTATTTAAAGGCTATAGCCTACAAAGAAATACATTGTGAAGCATTTGCGAGTGCTACAAAAGAGGCTGGTAGAGACATAAAGCGCTCAGGATTTAAACAACATTTCCTTGTATTAAATCATTATAGTCTATAAATTGCGCATATAGGCCTTGACTTATTTAGAATTAAATACTAATTAAACGAAAAATGACTTATTTGTGCCTTTGAATTCATTTTTAGAATTCATTTTTAGAAACATGAATTTGGCCAGTCTGTGGCTACAGGCTCATGCGATGGTGCCTGGAGAGCCGGCCAGCAGTGGAGAATATCCTCTCCACACTTAGAGGCACTGGGGATGGTGAACACTCTTTTGGCCATTCTTGCCAGGCTGGTCAGAGATGCAGAGTCGTTTATTTTTATTTTTATATAGATAGGCCTTAAGGTTTTTAGGCAAAATAACCCAATCAAAACGGAATGCTCCTTGAACGTGGGAATATACCAGGCCTATTGGGCCAAACTCAATTATGGCCTATGGTATAGATAATAGAACGAAAATGAATGAAATGTTTAAGAGATCTGATTTTTAGTTTACAAATATTTTGCTACAATGACACAGTTATCTACCCACCTCCTTCCTTTCTTTTAGCACTTGCACATAGTAAGTACACCATCATCCTTATGGGATGTGTCTTTTCAGATTCCACAATGATTCTTTAGTTGTGGACACAACATCACCACACTCCCTCTCTTGCTCTTGGTCCTCATCTTTGTAAGTCACCTTGATTTAGCACCTGTGTGTTTTATTAGTTTCTTCATGAAAATATTTAGGGAATTCCATGACAGTAGCTAAAGCCAGGGGCTATAGCTGCACACAAGTAGACCACAAATGCATGCTGGGGCGGGCATGCCCTGAGCTCATCAAATGAGCACTACTGGAGCGAAATTGGAGCGGGCGAGAAGGCCGACGCTCCAGCCTTTGGGAATCTCGCTCCACGCTAAAAGTCAAATTGGGCACGCTCAGCTCCTTGCTCCCTCCAGCTCTGCTCCGCTCCGCTCACATACTCTACTGGCAGGCTATTCCAGAGGCTGGGGGCATGCTAACTAAAGGCTGCCTCTCCATGCCTCTTGGTCCTAGGCTTTGGGATGGTTAAAAGGCCAGTGCGAGAGGACCTGAGGGACCTACTGGGTACATAACTTAAAAGCATGTCAGAAATGTATTGGGGTGCACAATCGTGGATTGATTTAAAAACCAATAGAAGAATCTTAAAATTAATTATAAGACTGTCTTTGGTGCGGACTTTTGCTTAGGTCATCTGTTGCTATTCAAATTCTTATTTTTATTGGCTTTTCTTTAGCTAATGATCCTGGTTTCAAAACAATAATCTTGGTCGTTCTAAGGAAAAACACAATTAAATAATCAGATGTTCTTTATTACCTTAATTAATTAGACTAATCAATTAATCTCCACAGGGAAATCATAATTAGTGATGAGAAAAATTATGTAAATTATTAGGCGGAACTATTTATGGGCAACCTTTGAATTTCCGAACAATTGCGAGGGGAACACAGGCAGGGTTGCCATGTCTGCGTTTTCCTGATATTGGGCTACGTTGATAACGATTGTCGCCGGTGAAAATGTGTTGGTCGCGGGTTGCGGGTTTTTGGGCTATTTCTAAATTGCAATGGCATTTCTCTTAATTACATTTTTTAAATATATTTCACTGTGACCTGCTGATGCTGACAATCAGGCTGTGAGTGAATGAGTGAGTGATGGGGAGAAGGGGTTTGTGTGTGTGTTGAGAGCACTGGTTGAGAGAGCGCTGCAGCAAGCAGCTGAGTCACGGAGACAGAGCAGCACATGCGCACTTGTGACAACATTTTGCCAGTTGTAGGTAGGCTATTTCGATTGGTCATCATGGAGCTACCTATTTCTAACCCTTTTTCCATAAAACATATTAACGCGCTAGAACTTATATAACGGCGACAAAGCACTGGAAAACGAGTTTAGGCGCACTACAGACTTGAGATAAATTCACTCAAAGGTGTTTTAAAGTAAACTGCATTATAATGTCGACTTTTCTTATGGGAAACTATGCTCAGTTCATGGGTCTCGCTGCGCGAGTGGGAATTTGAAATTGCATTTATGGAACTTGTTTCTTTTATGGGTAAAAATCTACAATGAAACTGACATTAAATATGGGGAATGATACATTTGCATCTGTTGACCATCATGTTGAAATGCCGATATCACTGGAGTCATTGCAAATTAATTTGTGCCACTTTTGTAGCCTACATGGAGCTGGCAAACGGATTTAATAAATAGCCTATAACTTCAGTTTGTTGTTGTAGCCTTGTGTTGTTATGCAATTATTAATGGCCATGTTTAGCTCATTCAATTGGAAGTTATCAGTTGTGATCATGGTCACAGCTCTATTGCAAATGTACCATTCTCCACATTTAATGTCAGTTTCATTGTGGACTTTTCTCTGAAATTAAATGTTGGCAGCTATAGGCTACCTGCACCTAGCTCAGCAAACCATGGCAAAGTTGAATTGCAATTATAAACTCAGATTTTAGTCAATAGCCTATGCCTATTGAAATAACAAGTCAATCTCGCAAATAGGCAATTTTTAATGATTTGTAGTCTTAACATCTGGCACATAATAACAACAAAATTGCCAGAAAATAGGCTAACATTTGTTTGTTTTTTAAGCTCGTCCAAGTGTTTCTTGCACAGAGATTTAGAGATCCTTTGTCCAACTTTCATCACTCAAACTCTCCCCTAGGATTTATCTATAGTTATGCACATGCGCAAACGGGATGTATTTACAATTATTAACCGGGTTGGCTGAATGTCGTGGTATATCAGACCATGTACCAGGGGTATGACAAAACATTTATTTTTACTGTTCTAATTACGTTGGTAACCAGTTTATAATAGCAATAAGGCACCTCAGGTGGTTGTGGTATATAGCCAATAGCACGGCTACGGGCTGTGTCCTAAGAACAGCCCTTAGCCCTTGTACAGTATATTGGCCATATAATAATATTATAATAATATGCCATTTAGCAGACGCTTTTATCCAAAGCAACTTACAGTCATGTGTGCATACATTTTTACGTATGGGTGGTCCCAGGGATCGAAACCACTACCCTGGCGTTACAAGCGCCATGCTCTACCAATTGAGCTACAGAGGACCACGCCTCCTCGGGCCTTATCGCTTAATCATAGCAGTCAGAACAAGTTAAATCGACATCCATGATGGAAAATGATCTGGCTAGTTTAATAAGAGAGAATTATATTTTCTCTTGCGACATATTCATAAACTCTCAATAATTATTATTTTGATGGAAAACCGATTTTTGCTTCTGCCCTATGTCTTTACAAATTAATTCTATATTATTTCTTAATTCGCTCG